AAAGTCTGGGGGCCCATTGACACAAACCCAACAGGAAGTCCGCCATTTGGAAGAGAAGGTGACATTTTGGCTCTAATTTTGCCATTTCCATGCCTCGAACTTTTGCGAACTCCTCCTTGGGGTTTCATTTCATAACCTTCAAATTTGGACAGTGTCAACTACACCCTTGTGCCATGTTAAATTGCGGAGCTTTTGAGTTTTCACAATACTATGAGGCCGTGGCGCCACGGCGAATTTCGATGACTCGCCATGAAAATCTTATTGCCTCTCATTTTGTCATACATTTTCTGACCTTGACCAAAGTGAACACATATGATAAGGCTCCACCCCTGAACATATTTCAACTGCCATATTTGACACCAGGGACAGCGCCACCTAGTGGGAACAGGAAATGTCATGTTTTACACTTTGGGGTACAGTATTGTGATGGGTGACATCTGCAGCCTCAAATTTCTCCAGGAAAGCCTTAAGGAGTTGGTCTTGGGTTACAGTGAAAACTGTGACTTTTCACGAAAGGGTGTGACCCCAGCAGCATGGCGAACTTTGATGTCACGCCATGAAGAAACAAATTAGTATAACTCAATGAAATCCAGTCTGATCAGTACCAGACTTTACAGGCATGATGTCAGACCCGCCCTGAACAGATTGATATGCCCATTGTCGGAAATACGGACTGCGCCACCTAGTGGCAACAGGAAATGTCATGGCTTTAACTTTGTTGTACTGATTTTCACAGGTTGATCGTGGCCACCTCAAAAGCGGTGAATATCACCATCAGTCCCTCGTGATGCTTCAGTGCAAAAATTGTGACTTTAAACTGAACGGCGCACCCTGGTGGCAACGCGGTTCACCATGAAAGATGAAGTGGCTTTTGAGGGGCTTGGAAAGTTTATAGAGGCTTGAAATTTGGCACACACCTCCAAATGGATGAAGGCATTGTTGTTATGTAACCATTTTCCTTGAATAGCGCAAAATGGCTCCACAGCGCCTCCTACAATATTTCAAAACATCAGCCCCTGCTCTGTGTTTCATCTATGAGTCTGACACTTGGTAAGCTTGTGTAAGATATCAAGATGTACAAAAAAGTCTCTTGGAGCAATATCCCAAATCCAACAGGAAGTCAGCCATTTTAAAATTAATGTGTAATTTTGATGACATTTTCCCCCCTTTTCAGGCCTCATACTTTGACGAACTCCTCCAAGGGATTTCATCATATTGAAGCATTCTTCAGGGTGTAGAATCTAAAGACCTTTGTGATGTTAAATTGCGAAGCTTTTTACGTTCAGGGAAACGGGGTGGTCATGGCGGCACGTAGAGTTTCAATCACTCGCAAAAAGCAGTAATCTGCTGTCACTAAAAAACACAATGTCCAATCTCTCCCAAAGGTCGCAGGTGTGATGAGACTTGAGCTTGGAAATGTTTGTTATGCTATTTGTCAATAATGGTTAGAGCGCCACCTAGTGGCATGACTATAATCCTGGTTGAATAAGATGAAATGTTAGCTGGTGATTAAAAGCATGAAATCCATCAATGTGACATCACATCGGACGTGCCGGTTTGAGGTGTTGGCAGTGGCTCGAGTGCCGGGGGTGCGAGGGCCCTCATAACGCTGCTTGCAGCTTTAATTATTATTATTATTATTATTATTATTATTATTATTATTATTATTATTATTCACCCCAAACAAGGGCCTTTTTGAGGGCCTAAACATGCTCAAAAACTCATGAAATTTTGCACACATGCCAGGTCTGGTGAAAAATTTTGTATTTTAATGGTTTTACATATGAGCACTGGGAAATGGCTCTAGAGCGCCACCTATGCCTTGTTAAATGCAGCCCTACGACCACATCGTTTGAGCTACATGTATGAAATTTGGCACACATGTGTATCATGCCAAGACGAACAAAAAAGTCTGTGGGCCCATTGACGCAAACCCAACAGGAAGTCCGCCATTTGGAAGAGAAGGTGACAATTTGGCTCTAATTTTGCCATTTCCATGCCTCGAACTTTAACGAACTCCTCCTTGGGGTTTCATTTCATAAGCTTCAAATTTGGACAGTGTCAACTACACCCTTGTGCCATGTTAAATTGCGGAGCTTTTGAGTTTTCACAATACTATGAGGCCGTGGCGCCATGGCGAATTTCGATGACTCGCCATGAAAATCTTATTGCCTCTCATTTTGTCATACATTTTCTGACCTTGACCAAAGTGAACACATATGATAAGGCTCCACCCCTGAACATATTTCAACTGCCATATTTGACATCAAGGACAGCGCCACCTAGTGGGAACAGGAAATGTCATGTTTTACACTTTGGGGTACAGCATAGTGATGGGTGACATCTGCAGCCTCAAATTTCTCCAGGAAAGCCTTAAGGAGTTGGTCTTGGGTTACAGTGAAAACTGTGACTTTTCGCCAAAGGGTGTGACCCCAGCGGCATGGCGAACTTTGATGTCACGCCATGAAGAAACAAATGAGTATAACTCAATGAAATCCAGTCTGATCAGTACCAGACTTTACAGGCATGATGTCAGACCCGCCCTGAACAGATTGATGTGCCCATTGTCGGAAATACGGACAGCGCCACCTAGTGGCAACAGGAAATGTCATGGCTTTAATTTTGTTGTACTGATTTTCACAGGTTCATCGTGGCCACCTCAAAAGCGGTGAATATCCCCATCAGTCCCTCGTGATGCTTCAGTGCAAAAATTGTGACTTTAAACTGAACGGCGCACCCTGGTGGCAACGCGGTTCACCATGAAAGATGAAGTGGCTTTTGAGGGGCTTGGAAAGTTTATAGAGGCTTTAAATTTAGCACACACCTCCAAATGGATCAAGGCTTTGTTGGCATGTGATCATTTTCCTTGAATAGCGCAAAATGGCTCCACAGCGCCCCCTACAATATTTCAAAACATCAGCCCCTGCTCTGTGTTTCATCTATGAGTCTGACACTTGGTAAGCTTGTGTAAGATATCAAGATGTACAAAAAAGTCTCTTGGAGCAATATCCCAAATCCAACAGGAAGTCAGCCATTTTAAAATTAATGTGTAATTTTGATGACATTTTCCCCCCTTTTCAGGCCTCATACTTTGACGAACTCCTCCAAGGGATTTCATCATATTGAAGCATTCTTCAGTGTGTAGAATCTAAAGACCTTTGTGATGTTAAATTGCGAAGCTTTTTCCGTTCAGGGAAACGGGGTGGTCATGGCGGCACGTAGAGTTTCAATCACTCGCAAAAAGCAGTAATCTGCTGTCACTAAAAAAAACAATGTCCAATCTCTTCCAAAGCTCATAGGCGTGATGAGACTCCAGCTCGGAAGTGTTTGTTATGCCATTTGTACATAATGGTTAGAGTGCCACCTAGTGGAATGACTAACTAATCATGAATGAATGAGTTGAAATGTTAGCTGGTGGTTAAATGCATGAATTCCATCAATGTGACATCAGATCGGACGTGCTGGTTTTAGGTGTTGGGCGTGGCTCGACGCGCCGGGGTGCGAGGGCCCTCATAACGCTGCTTGCAGCTTTAATTTTGTTTGTATTTTCTTTGAATGCTGTCTGAGCTTTAAATTTTAAATCCTGAATAAACAGGGAATGCTAATTTAAACTTGTTTATATTTGATAAAAAAAAGTTATTTAATTTCAAAATAAATCAGCTTTTTTTTTTTTTTTACAAACTTTGACATTGTTTAATGGTTGCAGCTGAACTAAACAGTCCCAGACCTGAAAACTATAAACACTGTTAAACTTGTTCCTTATTTTAACAGACCATATTTAAAGCCCTTATAAAATGGCTTAAAGGTCTGAGTACTGACTTGCTGTATCAAGCAAAATACAGGAAAAGATAAAGAACCATGTAATTGAATTACAACAATGAGAAACGTTATGTATAAATAGTGAATTTATACAGCATTTATATACTGCTTTCCTAGTCATCCAAACTGATAGAATCTGGTTATAAACTATTAATATTGACAATATAATGAAAAAACAAACCAACTAGGAAACTAGGTGGGTTGCAGGTTAATTTTAATGACAGAGTCCCCATTAAAGCCTGGGCTGCTGTGTTATTAATATTAATGTTAATTTAAGCTGTGTGAATGCTGCTGCCATGTCCTTGTGTAAGGTCAGTTTGTTTTGACCAGAGTTAACAGGCTAATTGATCTCTTGTTTGGTATGTGTCAACGCAGTAGGTCCAACTCACTCTCACTGTAGCCAAGGCTGTATGTAGTAGTCCCCTAAGTATCCATACTTGTTCCCCACACCAGTATTTGTGTGTGTTTGATCCATGATACGAGTTCACATTTGAGTTTTAACACTTACATTCATCCTGTTCAGATTTTGTATGCTATTGACTTATTTATTTTTCAAATACTATCTTTGATCTTAGAGGTTATTGCATGTGATTTTGGACAGCGTTTTGCTACAGTTAAACATGTGTAATATGTTTGATTCATTAGTATAAATGATAATATAACAAGCAGATAATGAGGCAGTCCTTAATGTTGCATGCGGTAGGCTGCACACACCTGACTTAATGTACAGTAACAAATGCATTGTAGTGATCTGAAAAGGGATGAATGTATCGTAAGGTTGGTCTCCAGCCAATAATCATGCATCTTGGTAAGTGCCATTTCTTTTACATAAGAGGAGGGAGTAATATTTTCCTTTAAAAAACAAAATTAAAAGACCTGCATTATGATTCCCATGATAAAGTGTGTAAATACTTATTTTCTTTCAAGTAATAGATGGTATACTTAAGGTTCAAGATTACATTTCAGAATTGTTACATTTTTTTCTTCTTGTGCTCGAACTAAAGTTTGTCTAAATCCCAAAATATGATTAGTAAACTATACCAATTCAGACACTTGCATCAACATGCCATCTGGTGTGGTCTTCTGTCAGTAGGGCTTTAGCTTTTGTTTTTCTAAAACCTCAGCAGAGATTATTGACCTAACACAGAAAAATACTAACTGCTGTTATCGTTTGGTCTCAGGTTTCTTTCAGTGCACCAAAAAACTCTTTCTGAGCGATCGGGCCACAGAACTTCAGATCAAGGAGTTTGCGCGTAAAAATGCAGCTAATGCACTGTCAGTTGCCAACATGGTCATGGGCATGGCCTCGATTCTCAGCAGCCTTAATGGGTGAGTAAATAAAGGAGTAATGGGTTTTACTTGTCAGCTGCTGGATGGGCGGAGTTTGTAAGGAGGAATCATTATGTGAATGAGTGTGGAAATGAATGATGTTGTGCATCAATAACCAAACTTTAGTCATTAAACACAACGCAATAAAATCAATCAAAATTTCACAAAACCCAGGAATAAATCAGAAAACACAACAGAAAAAATAAAAGTAGTATTTCAGAAGCTGAGCTATAATTTAGCAAACATATAAGTGTTTTCAATTATTGTTATTATTATTATTATTATTGTGGTTTTATTGTTTGTGTTTTCAAACAACAATGTTATTAACATCCTGTGTTTAGCCCATCAAGGAAAATCATAATATTTATAACAGATTACGAGCCGCTCTAGGTTTAGTTTAAAGGCACAGTTTGCTTTCCCAAAAATGGCAATTTTCTGTATATAAAAAAAGAGACTTTTCTAACATTGTCAGAACTTTTGAACTTGCAGACATTTAACCCTTTTTACTTAACTGTTCAACCTAACAATGACTGGCTTTGTTCAGGCACCATCACGCTGCGTGTTGGCTCGTTCTGATTGGCTACCTCCTGGATTTGGCAGATGGAGCAGTTGCCAGGCAACTCAATGCATGCTCTGCACTGGGTAAGTGGAGTGTTGTGGTCAATAGCACTTACCAAAGATACACTTCCACTGTGGTGTTGGCAGGGCTTGCTGCACAATCTTTTTGTCTGAGCTTTTTTAATTTGGCCACACAAAGAGATCCAGTAAAGGGAACCTTTGCAATTGAAAACTCTTCTTATGTTTCCAACAGAAGAGTCATGAATAATTTATGCAATGTTATTTGAGATTCATCAAGTTAACTTCTTTCAAGTTATTTCTGTGCTCTAGACAAGACAAGATGAATGCATATTTAAATACTTGCATATTTACGCTTTAAGGACTATATTTGTGGCTTGTTTACAAAAGAGCCCAATGCCTCATAGTAAAAGGGAAAGTATAAATAGCTTTGACATTGCTTCCAGTCTGCAAATTCCTAATTTCTGAGATCCCAAAATAGTTTTCAGTTGCATCACAATACATTGTTGGCTGCACATTGCACATTGCAGGGGGCTTTGTGTCTCAACAAGCCTTTTCTGCATGACTTTGCAGGTGGGTGTTGTTGTGCCCCCCACGTATTTTGTCAAATGAACAATAACTTTCTGATTAAGCAGCCTAATTCCACGGGATCATGGCCCAATTGTCTATTTTATCCTGTTGCTTTGGGTTCTCGGCATATCTGAAATTGCTAAAATTGTTGACCCTGGACTGTGGAATTCCACCTCGTTCATCTGTGCCGTGGCCTGAATCACCTCATCCTCATCCGCTGAAAACATGCTATGTGCTCCTGAGGGATAAAGAGATAAGGCAGTGGAGAATGTTGTTTATAGAATGCCTGCCTGTTGGGCTGACACTGACATTTCCACTTGAGAAATTTTTGCACATTCACCGCACGGCTGTCACATGACATGGCACTGGCAAAGATCAGTGCTGAAGAGACATAATACATCTACTGTGGCTTTCACGATTAATGTGCTATGCTAATAGAAGCAGTGTGACACAAGCCTTTCTAAAGCTTATTAGTACAGCTATCAGCAGCAAACATGCCAAACCTTCCTTTTTCATGTTCAGGTGCAAAGCTAGATGATTTTGCTGATTTCACGACCTTTGGGATTGCGACGTCATTGCTCCTGAGAACATCTGATCTGCTCGACAACATCCTGTGCATGTGTTACGTCCTTTCTGTCTTTGTCCGCCTCTGTTTCTTCTCCAGTGGTAAGTTTAAAAAAATGTAGTCTTATTTAACACTGTCATTTTCAATTTAGTCTTTAATTTCAATCATCACTTTGCAAAGTAAGGACATAGTTTGTGTTGTTTTTCCTCATAGGCATCCCTTTCATGTATCGTGGCCTGCCCTGTATTTACTCGTCGGCCATCTTGGCAAGTGCCTCTTTGCTGTCGGGGGGAAACATGGCATTGCTCCGAGTCATTGCAGTTGCCATGATCCTCTTCATGATCAGCCAGAACTTTTACCCTCATGACAGAGTGCTGGAGTCGCAGGCCTGGAAGAAAGTAGTCTACGCTGGAGGTAAAGTAATTTTTAAGAATCTGAAAATCTTAACCGGAACTGCCATCACCTATAAATGTTTTTACTGTTATTTACTTATTTATTCTTAATGAGGTTTGAGCCTCTTACTGCATGTGTTTATGAATTCTAAACTTAACCACAAGGAAACATTTATTTAACTTATCCCAGTCCAAATGTAAATTTAAATCGCTTTGTGCCAAAATTTGAATTTAAATTCATTGAAGCTGCTTTTTGGAAAAAATGTCCTGGCTGTTCCACATTCAAATGTTTTTGTGCTGTGATAAAGATGGAATGCTGGCTAATCAGTCCATTCTGCAGATCAAAGCATCTAGTAAACACCTCGATATTAATAAGAAGTGTTGGGGGAAAAAAACATTATTGAAGCCCAGATAATGAGTGCAACACCTTCATTTCGTGCAGACATTCAGTTTCTTTTTTGTGTTTTTATTCTCAGGAATCATCATGTTGTTCTGCTCTTCCTTCCCTCCTGCGTGTATGTACTACCTGCTGTGGTCTGTCTCCTACATTTTGTTCCCAACATCCCTATGGAGCAGTAAAGTGTAAAAGGGATGCTGGCACGCTTAAAAACACTCCCAAACAGGTTTACCTCAGCCCGTCCAGGTGAACCAAGGCTTACAGATTACTGCTGCGCCTTACTGCTGTGGAGGATTCAAGCTAATTCATGCATCACATGCATGCACTCTGCTTAATGTTTTTATTTTGTTTTGTTTTTTTTAGATGACACCTCTGAGGGAACCTAAAATCAGTAAGAATGATTAGCAAGGCATTTTATGTTACTGGTGAGGATTAACCTTCATCCTGTCATCTATTAAACCCCCTTCTTCAGTATTAATCCAATCTTGGTCAGTATTGGGAGCACATGGCAGCAAGCACATCTACAGTATGATTCTAAATATTATTTTAAAAAACATATATATTTCCAATATTTTCTTACTTCTAACTTGTTGTGGTTTATCGCAAATGACTTAATAATATTTATTTCATAGTGTTGAGTGTAGTTAAAGAAATGGCTACTGAAATAGTAACAATTATGTAGGTATGTGCTCTAATCCATGAATCAAAAGTAATAACTCATTGAGATTCAGAATTTCATGCCCTCTCTGCATCTATACTTTAAAACAAAGTCATTTTAATTCATCCAATAGACCCATTTTGATTGAAATTATATTTTTTAACGTTTGTTTTTTGGATTGAGATCATTACCGTTTACGGAGAGGTCTTAAATCCAGTGATAAAGGAAAATATAATTATTTAATATGATTGTAGTGTCCTTCACAATTTTGATTTGCTGTTTGAATATATGTTTTAAATAACTTACTGACCAGTACTCTTGTAAGTTAGGGGCTTTTATTTAAGCTTCAAGACTATATGATGCAATAGATTCCCTTATTTCATCAATGTGTGATTATTTTTTTATTGGGTTATTATATGCATTTGCCTCTGTTTTAAGAGGCATTATGGTTTAAATAGTAAGTAAATCCACACTGGACTGTAATGATGTGATGAATTAGTGATGTCACAACAGGTGTCTTTAGAACATCTTATGTGGCATAAGGAGTCAAGTTGAAATACTAAATCCCCAGCAGTTTTCTGCCTCATGTAGTGTGAATTTACCCTTAGAGAGGCTTCCAAACCTTTCCTGCCATCTAGTGGGTAAAATTACTGCACGTTCTGCTTCAACTTAAAGGTAAGATAATGTCAGAGTCAGTGCTGAGTTTGATCACAAGCATAGTGCAGCAGACATTAAACCCGAAGAGGCTGGTGGAGGAAATAATGTGTGTGATGATATTGGCCAGTATATATCTGATCTGAGACAAATCACTTGTTTTGTAGATCTTATTTAGTAAGAACGCATTTTTGAAATCTCTCATTGTGTTTCACAGTGGGTGTTAGTGCCTCTCTGCATTGTGAGTAACAAATGATTATGATTGTTAGGTTTTTCTCTGCATGTATTATTGTAAGGTCTACCTTACAATATAAAGGCGACTGTTGTTGTGATTTGTATAAATAAAATTGAATTGAAATGAGAAGATTATATAGTTTTGTACCAATTTGTTCAGAAGCCCGATGAAATGTGAGCACAGAGTAACAGTTGAATGTGTCTGTTTTCAGGCCTAAAGATAGCAGGGCGGGCAACAAATCATAATTTACACAAATTATGATTTGTTGCCCGCCCTTTAAAAAACCATCATCCTTGAGCTCACACTCAGAGGTGTATGAAATCACTCGCAGTTTAGGTTCAGTGATTTTAGTTACTTTAATCAGTCTTCTGTAAGCCACAGCTTTTTGGAACTTAAGTTATCCCTATTATTCTGCCTTAAAGAGCTATTTGAAGCAATGATAATCAAGTGGAGCACAATTTTAAAACACAAGATCTTTGTTAAGAAATAAAAAAACAAAAACAAATGTAATGTCTTCTGATTCAGTTATGATTTAAAATCACTGTAGTTCATTCTCGACATGGTTTACGATAACCAGTGTTACGATTAAAATCGACAGTGAACTGAGCGCAGATGTACTTGTCATTCATTGGTGGATTCAGCTTTTCTGTTTGGGTGTTTCTGGTTTTGAAACTGTAAAGTCACAGTAATTAATGTCTGCATGCCAAGAGCATTATAGATACAAAAACTGTACTTTGCCCAAAGATAGTGGAAAAGTTCTCAAGTATTACTAAAATCTGTGCTTTTAGATCTGTACAATTTGACCACAAGGCTGTATTAATAAAAAAATAATACTTGGAATTATTGTCTTGATTCATTATATTTTTACTGAACTGGAAATGTTAGAACTCCTGTAGTCACTTTTACCATGTCGGATTGCTATCAACGTCTCAACTAAACCCATACACGGTTATTAATAAATTGTGATTGATCTCTAATGTGAATGTTACTGACATATTTACCATACACTCACTGGACAATTTACCCTTTTGCCTTCAGAGTTCTTAATGACATAGATTCAGCAAGGTGCCGGAAACATTCCTCAGAGATTCTGGTCAATATTGATATGATGGCATCACACAGTTGCTGCAGATTTTCTGGCTGCACATGTATGATGCTAGTCTTCTGGGCCATCACGTCCCCAAAGGTGTTCTACTGGTTTTAGAGTTAGTGGCCACTGGGGGCCACTAGAATACAGAGAACTCATTGTCAAGTTCAAAAACAACATTTTTGAGATGACTTGAAGTTTTCAGCATTGCAGGCATTAGGAGACAAGCACAATGTAGTCATAGAGGGATTGACATGGTTAGCAACAATACTCAGGTGGCCTTTAAATGATGCTCAGCTGGTACTAAGGAGCCAAAAGTGTTTCAAGAAAATACGCCCGACACCATTACATCACCAGCAGGCTATCGAGGTGATACAAGACAGGATGGATCCACACTTTAGAGGTTTTTTTTTTTACTAACTTCTGACCCTACCATTTAAATTTTGTAGCAAAATCTGACACTTATCAAACAGGCAACAGTTTTCCATCTTTTGTTGTACACTTTTGGAGAGACTGTGTGAAATGTAGCCTCAGTTTCCTGAGCTGACAGGAGTGGCACCTGGTGTGATCTTCTGCTGCTACAGCTCATTCACTCCAGGGTTTGGTGTATTGTGCCTTCACAGCATACCTTGGCTGTGCTAGTTTATTTGAGTTACTGCTGTTTTCTTATCATCTCAAAGCAACCTGTCCTCTGGCCTTTGTCATCAGTAAGGCATTTTCACCCCCACTGGGTATCTTTATTTTTCTAGTAAAATAGTAAAATCCTAGTAAAACACTCAAACCAGCTCATCTGGCAATCATATCATGTTTAAAGTCAAAATGTGATAGTTTCTTGTGATTCTTCTTCTGGTCTGAATTTCAGAAAGACTTTTCACTATTTCTTATATACCTACATTTAATGAGTTGCTACCATGTGATTAGCTGATTCAATAACTGCATCAACCAGCACCTGTTGTTGTGCCCCCAACAACAAGTATACCCGAGAAAGTGGCGGATGAGCGTAGGTCTATTCGATCAGTCCTGCCATTCGCTTATATTCAGTTATGTCAATGACCTCAGAAATACAAATCGGTGTTGTATCAGCAATGTGCAGCGAGGACTCAAACAGCTTGATGATGGCTGAAAATGCTGGTCGCTCTTTGAAGCTCCACATCCAACAGTACTTCATCAGGTCATACCTAAATACATATGGAGACATTTAGAATTCATCTGCGTTTCATCTGTTTCACAAGCAAATCAGTATCACTGTCATGGCTGCTTATCATATGAAGCTAACCAATCACAATCCTGGATAGCCTGTCACAAAGACTTTTAAAGTTAGAGGTAAACACTGAGCAAACACTGAGTGAATTAGTGAGCTTTAGAGGTGCTGGTTCTTAGACAAGCCTGATAGCTTCTTGCAGCAGTTTTATATTAAACATGAAAAGACGAGTGTCAATCTTGTCATCTGAATTATTATCAAATCTGCAAACTGCATCTTTAACTCATCCTCATTGCAGGGACTTTAAATCTTAATGCAGTTTTTGTGAGTTTGAACTGACTTTGACTTTGACTATACTGTACTTAATGCATGTATTTATATATATATATATATATATATATATATATATATATATATATATATATATATACACACACTCCATACAGATTTGTTCATACGTCCCTGTCTATTGCTTGCTTTTAGGTGAATTACACGTACAAAAGTCCACCGCAGTTCTTTGGTCTCTTCATTCGATAAGACGCCTGCAGCTTTGGAAGCACTGTTGAAGGCTTCAGCTCAGGGTATGGAGGGGATCCTGAGGTATGGGAAAAAAGCATTTTTTTATTAGCTCTGTAATGTTGTTAATGGTTTGATTGTAGTAATTAGTAGATTTGGATTAAGATAAGATAGAAATGTACTATAAAACTTTGGCAGATAAGATGACAGTACTTTACCTAAAGTGATCAGTTCATATAGTAGGATTCCAAATGACCACCTGGTGTGCGGGGAGAACAAAACAAAACACTGTGACTCATAGAAACATGATTTTTAAAGCATGTAATGCACATACAAGAGCAAAGACAAAAAATGTGAATAATAAAAAATATATATCGTGTGTCTTTGTTTTGTTTCCTTAGCCATAACTCTGCCCTTACACGTCGCTTCTGTCGATACTGAGCAGCATCATAATCCGCTCTGGAGCCTGCCATTTCAATGGCACCTTTGCTGCCCTTTGTCTAATTGCTGAATCCATTTTGCGTCCTTCAAATGCCACGCCCAGGCCAGATACTCGAGCCGAGAGGCCTGGGCCAATTAAGATGTTTCTGGCAGCAACATCACCATGCACCAGCCTGTGCTCTGACATCAGGTAATCCTGGAGGAGGATCCAATTACAGCTAAACATGTCAATCTTTTTGTTGCAACAGTTATTCAAGATTCAAGATAAACAACACTTTCCAGCATCTTGGGGGGAAGAAATGGCAGAATGTCATCTGCTGTAGGGCGTGACATCTAAAATGAACTCGTTTTATTCCAGTTGTGTGTTGGGAATAATTGGTCTAAAAAAAGTGACTCACCAGGCCAGCTGCAATCTGTTTTGCCACCAGAAACACTGACCTCTCAGAGAAGTTTTGCGAGGGATCTGCAGTGCTTAAATTGTTCTGGAGTTAAAAATAAGTCCTTGTCATTGCAATACATTGAATAATTGAAGATTGCCTTTGCCACTGAATAGGTAGAAGGTTTGGATCACTTACATTTCTAAGTGTCCAGAGGAAGTGAAGGAGATTCCCTGGGTTGTAGGCATCTAAAACCAGGTACATGGGTAGACGTTTGGTGTGACAGTGCAGCATCTGCACCACATTTTCATGTTTACACACTGAAGCACAGAAGAGGAGCCACTCAACAAATTCTTTAGCTTCAGGCTTGCCAGAGGCATCTGTATGGAATTAAATTAATAGAATAAAAACTGGACAAGCTTAACTCCAGTGATGACCCTTGCTTTATATCAGATTTATACAGTACCTCGAAGGCACTTAACCACCACGACAGAAGAGGCTCCACCTTTCTTCTTCAGCAGACCTTTACAAATGGGGCCATAGCAACCAGTCTGCCAAAACTCTAGTCCCTCAAGAACACACTCTTCTGGGATTTCCCAGGGATCTAAAGCTGCCGGGACCTTTGGAGGACCTACAGAAGCTGTAGACAGGGATACAATCTGCTGGCCTGATACAAGGGCAAATATAAGTAAATAAGCACTTGGCATTACTATGAGACACTCAAACAGAAATATGTTAGATTTTTAAAGGATTTCACGCTGTTTTAATGAATTGACATATAGTTATTGCAGCTCCTACCATTTTTAAAATGAGGTGAAGTCCTGTGTCGTCGTTCTTTATTTTTACATAGAGTATAAAAAATGAGAGCCACCACTAACACCGTGCTCAGAGCCAACAGGGAAGGGATTATAATGAGGGCAAGTGTGCCTGATGACTCTTCATCTACAAAACAAGTTAAAGAAGCAGGTTCAGAACATTTCAAAGTACACGCTGTTGCTTTCACCATTTCACAATTACTTTTTCACACAGGGGCAGGTCGTTTGTCATAGCTTTTTCCCCCTTGAGAAATTACACCATCATCTAAAAACTGCATTTTGTATTTACCCCGGTAATCTTTGTCTTTGTGACAAACATGCAACAAACTAAGAAATCAGGAAGGGGTCAAATGCTCTAGCTGTCGTGTATACAAAGCAAATGAACTTCCAGCTAATAGCAATGCAATCATTATCATGTTTAAAACTTACAGGATGGACAGAGAGAGGTGTCATTGCTACATTTTGTGTCCACGTCCATTAGGAGCAGGTCGCATTTCTCAAATGTGGGAGAATCTGCAGACCGTATCAACAAAAGCAATTCAAGGGTTGCCAGTCGAGAATTTTATTCCGGTGTTGAGTAAAACTAATTAACTTTGAAGTCATTTGAAAATGAAAAAAAAAAACAAAACAAAAAACGAGCAACGTTAAAAATTAGTCTTCCTACCTGACACCAGAGGCTCTATTGTGCGGGTGAACAAACATTTACAGACCTTATAATATAAAAATTAACAGCAGTGGGGGAAAAAGAGAAAAGAAATCATAATAACACAGCTGTTATCAGCGGCTTTTCAGAATACAGGCTCGGCACTGTGAGGGCGCTGACCGGAGAGTGGCGCTGGAAAGTTGACTGACTGTTAATTATTAGCAAAGCAACAGAAACGATAACATTAACAGGAGTCATGCTCACACTTAATGCAACCAAAACAGGTTAGTCACTAAACTGTGATGAACACACACACACATCTCACAAGAAATGTGTCTCTGCTTCATCAGACAAAATATGAAAGACAAAGTAGATAACAGGTACGGGCGTTAAGAAAAAGGGGTAAACCAGGTAAAAAAAAAATTAAATTAGTGAGCTTAAATAAAATGTATATTTAAATGCGCTAACGCCGATGTTTATTTACTATATTCATATATAATTAATCGCATCGGATGTGTAAGATTAGTTAAAATCTAATAGTTTTACAAGTGAATGTTGCCAGCTGGCGCTTTGGATGACATGCCAGCCTCAGTCTGTTGGCAACCACAAGAGGGCAGACTTGCACAAAAAATCAACAACCACTACTACAATTAACCGACACACAACCTTCCTAGTTCCAGATCTCCAAACGCATTTCACGGACCTAAAGCAACCATGTAAAATTCAGGAATCACTCAGAAGCTGTTGCACTTTGCAATAGGAATACAAAGAAATTTGGAGAAAAAAATCCAAACCGCAGACCAAAGGTCATACACAGAGATAGGTTACCCATCTCTGGCTATCTGCAAGCATGTTCTACGTGAAAATACGCGTCCCCAAGGGGGAACTCCGCCTTGC